AGAGTTCCCTACAGAGGCTTATTGAAAGAATTGACAAGGACTTGTACATAGATTTTTACCAAAAGAGCATTACAGAGCAAGAAACAGGCATTTTCAAGAACTAGATAATCACCAAAGAGCATTCTAACTTATAATTAACAAACAGCCATTTCCTTTGGTCATTCGATCTAATAGTATGATTCTTGCTTAGGATGCTATAGGTCACTCAGTTCAGATCTCAGAACACCATAATAAAATAACTCAATAATCAGTGTAAAAAGTCAACTAAAACAATAAGACACAAAATGCAGCTGTATTTTCAGATCTAATGACTTATATTTACTGAAAAAACAAACAATTTGCACATAGGAAATCCAAATCAACTAGGGAGACACCAGTTAGCTGGCATTTGTCCTAGTTGCCTTGGACCATTAAACACAGGAACAGTTTTTTTCAACAGAAAATGGCATTTGCTTTAATGATTTAAGTGTTAAATAAATTGCATCAACAGATGTGCATTTGGTCTAGCAGTATTATTCTCGCTTTGGAGCAAGAGGTTCAGAGTTCAATTCTTGGAATGCGCCCTACAGATTTTCTACACCTCTGTCTTTTTCTTTTTTCTTTTTTCTTTTTTTTTTTTTTTTGCTTCAGTAGTTGCCAAAAACTTATAAAGTCGAAACAAAATCTCTAGCACACATTTAGCAAGAGAACATAAAAAACCAAAAGGTGCAATTTTCACCAATAATTCAAACAATTGAAACTGATGTTCATGAAGAAATATATTTAGAGAGCATGCACTTACAGGGAGGTACTTTTCCTGAATCTCCAAGAATGAGCTGCAGCACGTAGAACTATATCGCCTTTCCATTAACAGTATTAATCAACAGCCTCAGCAAGATTTCGAATTTCATGAACTGATTGAACAGCACACTAATAAGGTTTAGGCCCTAACTCCACCACAAAAGCTAGCTTAAGAGTGGAGGTTTGACCCTTACTTATATATTGGCCCAAATCCTCTCGGTCCATCCCCGACCGTTCCACAACCACCAAGTCGACCGCATGTCCGCAGGAGAACGGTCTGTCAAAAGACCACCGGAAAGTAGAGAGTTAGGCTCTGATACCAATTAATAAGGTTTAGGCCCTAA